GAGTGACTCGCTCAGCCCTTTCTAACTGTACTAGGAGGGCACAGGTGTGACCGCACTGCTTAGGCATGTCCCCCAGAGCTGCTAGGACCAGCTAAGATGACACGGTTCCCTCACAGTAAGCTGCGTCCTGACCCTGGAGGCCTCCCCACCCTGCTGTGCTGCTGGCGAGCAGGTCTGGGCTTTCTAGCAGGTTCTCAGTGGTAGCAGGGTGTGGGCAAGGCTGAGGCCCCTGTGACTCTCAGAAGGTGCCCAGGGTTTGGCTCACCCTAGGTAAAGCTGAGGTCATGGGCAGATAATTTGTTTCTTTTCAATTTGATAAAATATAAACAAACACAAAATTTACAAACAAATATATTGTACTAATAAAGAACTGCACATTTTAAAAAATATAGATTCATAATTGCTTACATTTGTTTCATTTGCATTTTATGTGTGTATATATGTTTCTAAACCCTTGAGAGTAAGACATCATGCCCCCATACCTTCTAACATTTCAGTGTTTATTTTCTAAGAACAAGCACATGTCAATTATTAAATCAGGAAATTTGACACTGATAACAGCAGTACTGATACTCAGCATGTATTGAAAATTGTGTTGTCTAGCAATATCATATATATGTATTTGTTTGGCACCAGGGGATAAGCTCAGGGCCTCGAACACACCCGGCTAGTGCTCTGCCATGAGCTGCATCCATCCTTCTGTATGGCTTCTTGAGACAGGTGCTTGATGTGTAGCCCAGGATAACCTTGAACTTGCTATCCAGCACATACCACTGTGCCTGGTTTATTTTTCTGTTTTCTTCTTAGGCCCTAAGGGCTCTGTCCCTCAGGGTTCTTGGGCCTCCCTGGTTTCCTCTGGTCTGACCTGTCCCCTTCCTCCATGAAGAGCACAGAGCAGTCACTGCACCTCCCTTGTTTGGGTCTGCACAGTCATGATGTGTTGAGCTCCCAAATCTTGGGCAGGAGGGTTGTGTGCCCTCAGGTGCTTGTTGCAGGTGACAGTGTCCATCTGTCCACCTCTGGTTATGTGGACCCTATTGCTTGGTAGCCTTGGAATGTGTGCCAGCTTCCCCAGCAATGTCAGTTGGTCTGCATTCTGGAGCTGTGTTTGTCACAGGAACTGGAAACAGGAGGCTGCCGGAGGGTTCTGACTTGGAGGGGTGACCAGAGTCTGGATCCCCCTCGATGCCCAGCACGTGGCATTTGCTGGAGGTTGGACGTGGGAGGGAGCACGCAGGACGCTTCCTGTAGGCCTGGGTTCCCAGAAGGCATGGTGTACTTCATCAAAGAGGAAAGCAGATCGGGCCAGGTGTGTGAAATGCCTATTGACAGCAGAAGTCACTGCTGAGGCCCAGGGAGGAGTCGCTTCTGAGCTCCAGAAAGAAGGCAGCTGGGTCAGCAAGATCTGGGAGTCCAGAGCGATGAGGCCAGTCCCTCTGGCTTGAGCACAGCGGAGAGGCCAGAGAACTGCCCACTGCAAGCTGCAGGTTCCTGCAGAGGCTGTGGGTTTGTACCTGAGGTGGTGAGTTTACTTGTCATTTCCACTTGATTAAGGACACACACTCAAGACAAAAACCGAAGATGCAAAGCCGGGAGAGGAGCAAGTCTCTCACTTGCCCCAGACACACAAGTTTCCTTCTGATTTCTGTAGTTTTTACATTTTAAAATTATTTTTGTACTTGAGGTGTATTGTGCACCTTGATTTTCTTCTTAAGCAAAGTATCTTGGAAAAATTCTCCAGAACGCCTGAGATGCTCCCCACTTTTTTGTGGCACTGGGAACCAAACCCAAAGCCCCCTGCCTCAGCTTCCCTGAGTGCTGCGATTACAGGTGTATACCACCATGCCCGGCTGAAATGCCCCCTTTTTAATGGTGTCAGAGTATTCCCCACATGGGAGGTGAGGGTACCAGTGAGGTAACTGGGCCACCCAAGTGCTGAGCATGGAGGTCTGGGCTATTGCGAGAAGGAGAGCCCTGACGGGCACACGCAGGCACCGCTTGCTCCAACCAGGTCCCTAGGAGGTGGCATCCATCACAGGTGTGCCGTGGCCTCTCACTGCGCTGGGCCTCGGTGATGGTGAGGGTCTTCTTGGTAGTCTAAGTTGTGTTCCTCCTGCTGAGGCTGAATCTTCCCTCACATTTGGAGCAATTTCTATCACTTTTTTTGGATGTGCAATATGTTGATTTATGTGTTTTTGATATTTTTCTCTTACATTAAGGATCTTTTTCTGACTTTATAGAATATTTTAAATGTGTCCTTATGTAGGGATTCTGTTTGGGAAAAAAGTTGATTGACAGAGAATCCAATGCTTCTTGGAATAAAAATAGGTATATCTACAAAAAATAAAATAAGATAGAATGCATATCATATTGGAGATTAAAAGGTTTTACCTATAACATGAGCTACATGCTATACGTGGTGTCGCATACCTGTAATCCCAGCACTTGGGAGGCTAAGGCAGGAAGATTGTCATGAGCTTGAGGCCAACCTAGGCTGCATAGTGAGTTCAAGGCCAGCCTGAACTGCACAGGGAGATCCTGTCTCAAAAAATAAAACAAAAAAAAGCTACATTTTTTTCTAGTTTGTGCTTGTCTTTTGGCTTTGCAAATGATGAGGTTTGGTCACTGTTTAAAATTGTTTTATTTTTATGTGGTTCAATTTATTGGTGGTGTGCTTGTACATGCTTCACAACTCTGAGGACAAGAAAATGGTCCATGGTGCCCTTCGTGGCCTAATTCAAACCAACTGAGCCCCTAAGCCCTGAGTATGTAGGAGCTGGCCACGCGGGTTTGGCTGGGGAGGCAGCTCCCTTTGGAGCTTACCACACAGACACATTCTACCTTGGCTTCTTGTGGGACCATGTGGTAGTTGTGGGGGTTTTTCCATTTAAATCTGACCCATCTGCTGTTAATTTTGGTGTACGATATTGGTAGAGAACTTCTCAGCGCCGTTCTTGCTTTGGGCCGCTCACCGGTTGTTAACAGAACATGTTGAACAAGCCACCTCTCCCCAGGTCTGAAACGCTGCTCCCGTCACACACTCAAGTCCTACCCACGGTGTCTCCACTGCCCAGACCCGCTTGTCCTGTTGTATGCCAGATTCTTCAGTGAGTGGCCTTACAGTGAGTTTTAGCATTTCACAAGTCTAGTACCCCTTCACTCTTCTTTCTAGTGGTTTTCCTGCTGTATTAGTTGCCTTTCCATTGCTGGAACAAAATACCTGACATACAGCTTAAAGGACGAGGGATTTATTTTGGCTCAGTTTCAGAGATTTTAAGCTCTGGCCGCTCGCTCCGTGGCAGGAATGGCATGGGAAGGGTGTGATGGCAGAAAGCTGCTCCCTTGAGCAGGGTCCAGTCGGGGCAGGGTGTCCAGTCCAATAAAGGTCGTCCCCCAGGGGCTACTTCTTACAACGGGGCACAACCTCCTGCCAGCCCATTTAGCTATGAACTTGTCAGTGGACTGCTCCATTGATGAGGTCAACACCTGCACGATACAGTCACCTCCAAAAGCCCCACTTGTGAACACATGGGATGTTAGGGGGCATTTTAGATCCAACCCATGACCCTGACCCGCTCTTGTTTATGTGGTGCTTTTCCAAAGAAGCCTTACAAGCCTCGTGTCTGCGCTGCCTCCCACTCCTCTCGGTGCTTCGTTAGGGTCTCACTAGACTCAGTTGGCATCTTCAAGTAGTCTTGAGTCTCCCTATCCAAGAACATAGCATTCCACGCTGTTTCCAGTGGCTGTCTGTGGTGTCTCTGGGGCATATCCCAGTTTTCTCACATGTTTCTTATAAGCTTGCCCTTATCTGTTGTTCCTGCTTCTATTTATGGAATTTTGGCCCCATCCCCTTACCCTATGTGTGCATGTTGCCTGACTTACATGGGACTCTTCCGCCGTTGCTTGTTCCAGTAGGAGGCTGGCTTTGGTGATGGATGTTTGTCCTTGTTCGAGGGACCATGTTGGTACATTAGTTATGTATTACTGTATAACAAGTTACCTAAAACCTAGTGCTTAAAACGACAATGGAAGTTTAGGATCTCACAGTTAACAGTGGCGTAGGTGGTGGTTCTGCTTGGTATCTCTCCTGAGCTTGCAATCAGGCTGTTGGCTGGGGGCTCAACTGGGGCTGGAGGTTGGCAGGAACCTCAGTTCCTCCTGACATGACCTCCCCATGGGGGAAGGGAAAGTGATTCTGAAGTGTCCCCCCAGTGCAAGTAGTCCAAGGGAGCAAGGAGGAAACCCACTATATTTTGTGATACCTGGTCATTTCTGCACATGCTCCTTGGCTCCAAGAGGGGCCTTTTATAGTGGGTGAGGCCAGGACCAGTGAGGCTGAGGTGCCCTGGCTCCGCCTGCGATGGGATACTTTGCTGTCAGCTCAGCCTCTGGGGTGACCGCAGCGCCTGAGGCTGGTGGTGGCACTTCTCTAGTGAGGTCAGGAGGTCAGGCACAACTCAAGTGAGATTGCGAAACACTCCCAGCTCTTCCTGCCCCTGGGGTGGGACGGTTTCTCTTTCTCATTCTATGTCAGCACAGTCTGAATATCTCTGTCATTTTAGGGGGTTGGATAGAATTATTATATATCCAGTATAATAATTGGGCTGGTGTCTTTTAGGAAAGGGTCCCTGCTCAGCACAGGTCCTTGGCCTCTCACCTACCTGGGTTTCCTGGGTTGGGTGGAGAGTGCCATCTTCCCCTGCTAGGAGCGCGTCTGACCCCAAGTGGGCATGGTACTGTCAGCCGTCACCACCAGGCTGCGTCTTCTCCTCCCTGCACCTGAAGCTACTGTGGTGGAGCGGGGAGCGTCAGTGTGGGGCTGGGAGCTGAGGAAGGGCTGGCTTACATCCCACACTGGGCGGACCTGGAGAACCCGGGGTCTTCTCACCGGCGGGAGTCTCCAGGGCGCCAGGGCAGGGAAGGGAGCTGTCACTTGAGGGCGGTGCTGGGGGCGGGGCAGGGGGCAGTGAGGTAATTTCCGTGATCAGGCGTCAGAGGTTTGAGTCACCCCAGGGGCAGAATCGAAAGTGATCTCTGCTCTGGCCAGAGCCTCTGCACGCAGGGTGAGCCCCGCGCGGTAGGAGGGACTGGATGGGGAGGGGAGGGGGCGGCTGTGCCCTGCAGCCTGGGAAGCTTGGGGACCCACAAAGGCCCATGTGCAGGCGTGCTGGGTGAGCTGCCCTGGAGGGGTCCCAGCATCCCAGCGCCCCCGGCCCCACAGCAGTGCAGCCCAAACTCCCTTGTCTCCTGGCTGGCTCCAGCTGCCTGGCTGTGCAGACTTTCTCTGGACTCCGAAGTTCCCACTTGGGGTGCAGGTGAGTTCTCAGACTCTAGCTGCCCCCTAGTCATTTCCTTTAAAAGATCACTTCTGAATCCCCCAAAGTTTCCCTTGAAATTTCCTCTTAGACCTGACTAGCAGTGTTTTTAAGGGCTCTTCCCTCCCCCATAGAGGTGGGGACACCAGCTAAGCCCTGGACCCTGGGCATACCCTCTCCCTGCATATCTGGGGGAGCTCTAATATTAACTGTCCCACTTGGAAAGGCCTGGGCAGGAAGCTGCCCAGGAACTGCCCCACACTCCTGGTACCTCCCCTCCCTGGGCTGCCACTGCCCAGTCCAGGTAGGACACAGTCATCCAAAGAAGCTCTGTCTTTACAAGAGCTGGGAGACCCGGAGCTTGAGGGCTTTGGGTGCTCAGAGCTCCAGATCTCACTGGGCCCAGAGATGCAGCCCAGCGGGTGTCTTCTGTGACCTCCAGGGCTCTCCTCTCTTCCACCCACCAGCTACCACAGCTGCTTCTTCTAGGCATGGTCTGGAGACCCTTAAGAGGGGAAGGGGCTTGGTGGACCCAGGACAGGTCAAGACTGCTGCCCAACAGTCCACTCCTTGGACATCAGGCTGGGCAGAATTGTCCCTCTCTGCCTGGAGGGGGATGTGTGAATATTTTGCTTGACCTCTGCCAATCTGCATTTCCTGTTCCAGATGTCTCACCGTGGGCTGTGGTCCCAGTGGACCAGCTGAGCCCAGGAGTCTTGAACACCACCCTGAACAGCCTGGCCAGTATCAGAAATGGCGTCCGTGGGGTGTGGCATGTCACCCACCAGCCCCTTGGCCACCAGAGGGCTGCCTCTGGCCACGCTCTTTAGCCAAATAGACCTCTGTCTGGGCTGTCCCCGCTGCACCCAGCGCCTCAATGAGAGCACCTATGTCCTGCACAAGGTGGCACACAGATGCTCCTGTGAGATCCTTCTGGCTCGCTTTAAGCAAGCTGCCAAGAGAAAGGTCTGGCGAGAGGTGGGCCACCGGCCCCGCTTCCCAAGGCCGTGGCGATATAAAGTGTGTCGCTACTACAGCCCTGGGCTGGGCTGCCAGTACCACCGAAATAGGTGCACCTTTGCCCGAAGCCCTGAGGAGGCTCTGGTTTGGACCTTTGAACGCAAGCACAGCCTCTCCCGCCTGTGGCTGAAGGCTGCAGTGCGGGGCGATGAGCCCCAGCGTGGGCTATCTGAGGCTGCTGACACCATCCTTGCGGAGTTTGGTGGCCACTTTCAGCTGCTCTGTGCCCACTGCTTCAGGGACTGCCCGCAGCGTCTTCGCCCTGTGGACCCCCAGGGACAGTGCCCTGGGCACGGAACTTGCCCTGCACTCCTGGTACATGTCAGCACCAAGGGCCACAAGCGCCAGTTCACCGAAGTGCGGCCAAAGCCCCAGAATGGCCGTCCGCTGCGCTATTGCATGTTTGTGGAGCGTGGGCAACCGTGCCGCCACGGGGCAGCCCGCTGCCAGTTTGCACACAGCGCTGTGGAGATGGCTGTGTGGGAGGCTGAGCAGTTGGGTGGGCTCCAGCGAGAGGCCCTGCGTGCATTGCCTACCCTCGGGAAAGACAAGCACACAGCTCCCCACAGCCGGTCCCGCCAGGGCAGCCAGCCCTCTGAGGTAGAGCTGTACTGCTACACCTGCCTGGTTACCTACCGTTCTCAGGAGGCCTTTGAGAACCATTGTGCCTCCCTAGAGCATGCACAGATGGTGGCCTTTGACCAGGCTGTGCCCTGGGAGCACCGCGCCCCACCCATGGGGCTCTCCAAATTTGAGCTCTGCCCAAGGTAAGGATAGTTGGTAGAAGACTGGAGGCTCGGGAGGGACCCCCCCTTGGCACCAGGGCCAGGGGGTTCACTGGTTCTGAGGCTTCCCTGCCACCTGCTGCATGCCAGGCTGGCACCACAGTGGTCTCTGGAGGCTTGGGTAAGGAAAGGCCCTTGTGGGTGCTGTCTGTGCTGGGCCTGGGCCTGGGGACAGCAGATGGAATCTGTACCTGGACAACATTCCTGCTCCCCACACAGGCCAGGGCTGGGCCGAGGGGGTGCTGGCCTCAATCTCACCCTGTGCCTGCACCCAAGTGGCCCTGCTAACTAAACTGCCCTCCAGGCCTGACCTCTGTGAGTACGGGGACGTCTGCACTCAGGCACACTCAGAACAGGAACTGCAGGAGTGGGTCCGGCGGGCACACGCCATGGAGCTGCGGGAGCAGGCAGCCTGGCAGGATGGGCTGGTGTCGTATCAGGATCGGTTGCTGGCTGATCAACGTGGCAGTGAGGTCCCGGTGGTAAGTAGCAACTATGGCAGTGGGTGGGGAAGGGGCCCAGGGCATCCGCTGAAGGCCAGCTTCTCTGTGCAGATGGCTGAGACTGTCCACGGCGTGTCTGTCACCTGCCATCAGCCCCTCGTACATCGGGCCCAGGAGAAGAAGATCCAGCATAGCTGGGCGTTCTGTGTCCACTCTGAGGTAGACTTCATACAGGACTCAGGCATGGGGGCCCAGCCCTAGCCCAGGTGGAGGGGAGCCCGTGGGAGTGGAACACAGCTGAGCAGACGTGGAAAGCCCTTGGTCTGGAGCTGACGCTGTGGCTCCACCTCTGTGTCTGTGTGACACAGGACAAGTCTGTGGCCTCTGCTTCATTTCCTCACCTGCGGACAGCGATTATAGAAGCCCTGCCCAGCTGGTTCACTCTGTGGAGTGAGCAAGCTAAAATGAGGGAAAGATCTGCCAGGGTCTGGTGCCCTCAGAGCGGGTGACGCCCCAGGCCCCAGGCCCTCCATCTCACCTCTTTTAATATCCACAGGGCTTCCTCAGGCAGCTTCGGTGACCACACTTTGCATAAGAGGAAACCAGGGTTCAGAGAGGCAAAACAACCTGTTGGTCCTCCACCTAGAAAGTGGCCCCAGCCTCCTCTCAGGAGGGTGGGAGGCCCCTGGTGTGGTGACACACACCTGTAATCTCAGTACTTGAGAGGCTGAGACAGGAGGCCAACCTGGGCTACACAGAGAGCTCAAGGCCATAGACAGACCTTGTCTCAAAAACGTGGGAAAAATATGGAGGGTGAGAGGGGTCTAGGTATCACACTGATGGGTGAGAGGGGTTGGGGGCCCACCTCACATTCAGTCTCGTCTCCCAGGACCCTCTGCTACATGTGGCCTTGCTTAAGCAGGAGCCTGGAGCAGTCTTCTCCCTGGTGGCACCCTGCCTCCCACCAGGCCGGCTCTACGCGAGCGGGGAGCGCTTCCGTGTGCCCAGCTCCCGAGCAGAGTTCCAGGTGGGGGTGCGAGTGCAGACCACCTCCTTCGGCACCTTCGAGCAATGGGTGGTCTTTGACTTTGGTCGTCGGCCGGTGCTGCTTCGGAAGCTGGGGCTGCAGCTGGGCCAGGCACACTGCTCAGAGCTCTGCCGGAGGCCAGCACCTGGCCGCCCTGAGGAGCTGGAGCGCTGGCACCCTGGCAACCGCCACGTGGTGCCTTGTGTGGAGCAGCCAGCTGAGCAGGCAGCCCTGATGGCCAAGTACAAGGTGCCCACCCTGGCCCTGGTCAGTCACTGCAGCCCGGCCTCGGAGCCCATCTCTCCCGCCAACTATCGGCAGATCATGCACCACTTTCTCTACGAGGAGGAGGCTGCTCGGCAGCAGCTCGTGGCCAAGTGAGTCCGGGCTGGAAGGTGGAGGGGAGGCTGAGGTTCTCAGCAGGAGCCAGCTCTGGGGCTGTGGCCTGGTGAGCTGACACAGTTCTCTGGTACACCAGGCTGAGCCTGCGGGGCCGTGTGTCCCTGAAGACTTCACTACAGACGCCGGCGCTTGGCATGCTCTTTGCACCCCCAGGAGCCCTCTATGCTGAGGTCCTTGTCCCCTCTTCTCTGATGCCAGACACGGACCAGGGTTTTCTTCTGAGCCGGGAGGTCAGCACAGCCCTGGTGGCCCCTGTGCCTGCACCTGACAACACTGTGTTTGAGGTGCGGCTGGAGAAGCGAGCCATCACCGAGCAGGCGTTGTGGCTGCTTCTGCCTAAGCAGTGCTGTGTGGCCCTGGGGCTGCAGGCTGAGGGCAGCCTCACCTTGGAAGTGCAGTTCCAGATTGACCCACTCAACTTCAGGTTCTGGCATCAGGCAGTAGATGCGTTGCCCGAGGAGCGCCTGGTGGTGCCTGACCTGCCCACCTGTGCCCTGCCCTGTCCTCGTCCCATCGCACCCTTGTTACGTGGTAACCACAAGCAGAAGCTGGCCATGGGGCTCATTGCAGGCAGCAGCACGGGAAGCACGAAGCCTGTCCCCCCGTTGCTCATCTATGGCCCCTTTGGCACTGGCAAGACCTACACTCTGGCCATGGCCACCCTGGAGGTTGTTCGGCAGCCTCACACCAGGGTGCTCATCTGCACACACACCAACAGGTAAGCCCACAGCTGCGGCCAGGCCTGCCACCACGGTCTTGCTTCTGGGGTGTCCAGCCCTGACTCGCAGGGCCAACTGCCCAAGGCTTTACCAGGCCCAGTGGGCGTTCCCTCAGGCACACCCAGAGGTACTGGAGCAAGGAGAGGATTGACGGTAGGGATGTGGCTGGGCCTACCCAGCATTCTTGGCAATGCTCTTTGGTTTGTGTTTTCAGAAACTCAGATTTCTCAGCCAAGAAGTTCCTCTTTGGCCAACGTGATTTTCTTAGTTCCCTAACATCAGATATAGTCATTCCTCGTTTAATGACCGAGTTTCAGTTCTGCACCTAGAATGTTAAATTGGTTGCTCAACGAGGAATTGTATACAGTATGTACATTACAATATTCAGAACAAAGGAATGATAAAAACACCAACTTGATGAATTTACTTTTATTTGCATAACTCTTCCATGGGGCACTGTGATGTATAATAACATAAACTGCAGTCCTGTGCTGTACGCACAGTCAGCAGAAAATAACGCACTGTGTTGTGGAAGAGACTGTGAGGCCGCACTGCTGCCTGCAGTGCTGCGCTGTAAGTCCAGATGTGTCTAGGTCCCAACAGTGGTCCAACGGGTGGGTCGTCAGAGGAGGAGTGTCTGCACTGCACAGGCCAGTCCTCCTTGGTGCAGAGTCAGGGTGGGCGGACGGGCCCATCTTCCCAGGGCCTGAGAGACCAGCAGGGCAGCACGATGGCTTGCTGAGAAGATGCCACAGCTGTCCGCTGGCCTCCTCACCCTTGCCCCCATTGACAGTGCCTGGGAGCTGTGCGCAGGGCCAGCGCCAGCCTCTGGACACCTGGCTGCCTCAGGTCATGGCTGGTTCCTTCACCTCTGTCCCCTGCCTGGGCTACAATGCCAGCACCTCCCCCTTTGAGTCTGTCCTGACCGCCCAGGTGCCCCTCTCCTGCTCAGCCTCTTTGCCGTGGCTGACCTCTCTTCTTCTGTAGCCTCTCCTCTGCTGTATGTCTGGCTCCTCTGCAGACCCTCACGCTTCTGGCAGGAACTCCCTCCACTCATGGCTGCCCTGATGTCTAGGGGTGTCTGCGCACAGCAGGTGTTCACCAGACATATGCCTTGTCCCTTCACAGTGCTGCCGACATCTACATCCGGGAGTATTTCCATGGCTATGTCAGCAAGGGCCACCCTGAGGCAGCTCCTCTCCGGGTGATGTACACCGACCGGCCACTAAACCAGACAGACCCAACCACACTGCGGTACTGCTGCCTGACAGAGGACTTCAGAGCCTTCCGCCTGCCCACAAAGGCGGAGCTGGCAGGGCACCGTGTGGTGGTCACCACCACCTCACAGGCCCGTGAGCTCCGGGTGCCTACTGGCTTCTTCTCCCACATCCTCATCGATGAGGCTGCCCAGATGCTGGAGTGTGAGGCCCTCACGCCGCTGGCCTATGCCTCACCGCACACCCATGTGGTGCTGGCAGGGGACCACTTGCAGGTCACCCCTAGGCTCTTCAGTGTGCCCAGGGCCAAGTCTGCCAAGCACACCCTGCTGTACCGCCTCTTCCTTCACTACCAGCAGGAGGCACACGAGGTCGCTCGGCAGAGCCGCATCATCTTTCACGAGAACTACCGCTCCACAGCCGCCATCATTGGCTTCATCTCTCGCCACTTCTACGTGGCCAAGGGCAACCCCATCCAGGCCAGTGGCAAGGTCCCACCCCACCCCCGACAGTACCCACTCATGTTCTGCCACGTGGCAGGCACTCCCGAGCAGGACATGTCCATGGCATCCTGGCTGAACCCAGCGGAGGTCACACAGGTGGTGGAGAAGGTACAGGAGGTCTACAACACCTGGCCCCACTGCTGGGGTGTTCGGGAGCAGAAGAGCATCTGTGCTGTCTCGCATGGTGCTCAGGTGAGCCTGGCCAGCTGACTTCTGCAGCTTCCCCACCTGTGAGAGAGGCTTTTGTGTCCACCTTCCAGGCGGAGCCACACGGTTGGAAGCAGGACTGGAAGGCTGAGGGTGGCCAGGGCTCAGTGGGAAGGGTCCCTCCTGGCCAGGCGTCTGACTCCTCATGCACCCTGTGCCGGTGTTGTCTCCAGGTCAGTGCACTGAGGCAGGAGCTGAGGAGGAGGAACCTGAGTGAGGTGTCTGTGGGCAACTTTGAGATTCTGCCAGGTGGGTGAGCAGTAAGAACTGAACTGGCCCACCCTTCAGTTTTGCATCTGCAGGGGTCGGGCTGGGGGCAGAGGCTGGCCAGCTCTCCTGCCTGGCAGCCTGATGCTTGTCTTCCTGCAGGGCGGGAGTTCCGGGTAGTGGTGCTGAGCACTGTCCACAACCGCCACAGCCTACTCAGCCCTGGGGCGCCCACCTTGGAGTTCTTCACCGATGCTCGTGTGCTGAACACAGTCATGACCCGAGCGCAGTCCCAGCTGGTGGCTGTAGGTGATGCCATGGCCCTTTGCTCTTTTGGGGCCTGCAGCAAGCTCTGGAAGAGCTTCATCCATGAGTGCATGGAGCACCGCAGTATCTTCCCCGAGGGCTTGTCCTTGGCGCAGATCGAGCAGGGTGTGGCCCAGAGGCAGCACTGGGACCCCGTGGCACTCAGAGCAGAGAGAACTTGGGCATCAGTAGCCAGGGACGCTAGCCTGGATAGGGCAGCCAGGGGCCCAGCCACAGAGCACACAGCCACGAACAGTAAGGCCACAGTAATGACAAAGGCAGGGGACACAGCTGTTGAGGGTCCAAACTCAAGGGAAGCAGCCACGACACAGATGAAGCCAGCACCAGGAGGGTACGCAGCCAAGGGGGGCCCAGCAGCAAGGCCAACTGCCCCGGAGGGCGGAGCATCTGAGGACGCTGAGGACTCAGAGTCTGACTTCTGGCCCTTTGACTGTGAGCTCAATGCTGATGATGCCATCCTGCAGGAGCTCCTGGATGAGAGCCGGCAGGTGATGGTGACTGTTGGGGAGGATGGGCTCTTGGACACCATGGCCAGACCTGCATCCCCACGGCAGGCCCGGCAGTACAAGAACCTGCCCTTGGCCACGCTGAGGAAGCTGATGCGCTCAGAGCCTCAGCTATATCGCCGTTGCACCTTCCTGAAGGAGACCTTTGAGCGGGCATCAGCTGTTCCACTGGACGAGGTGGCCTCTAGCCCCATCCAGATCAGGGGCCGCTTGAACTGTGGGATGGCCTTCACCGGGGATGAGGTGCTGGTGCAGCTCCTGGGCCAGTTGGCTGGTGAGAGTGGTGCCCCGGGGAGGCTCCAGGGCCGCGTGGTGGGTGTGCTAAAGAGGAAGAGAGATGAGCTGGCATTTGTGTGCCGGATGGATGAGTGGGATCCCCGCATCATGATCCCCATCAACAGCTCTGTGACCAAGATCTTCGTGGCTGATCTGAAGAACCCACTGCAGGTTCCCATCCACCGTCTGCTCCAGGGCCAGGTGCAGTGTGTGGGGCACAGGCGCCTCACTGCTGAGGGCAGGCGTACACAGCTCTTCTGGGTCCGCATCATCCTGTGGAGGGAGCGTTTCTACTACCCCCTGGGCATCATCCTGGAGGTGCTTCCTGAGGCCACCAGTTGGGAGCAGGGCCTCCACATCCTTGGCCTGGAGCATGGCTTGCGAACCTCCTCGCCGGACTCGGCCTCCGTCTCGAAGGCACTGCAGAAATACCATGCAGAACTCAGTCCAGCTGCTGGCCACCGAGAGGATTGCCGCAGTTTCCTGACCTTCACTGTGGACCCTCAGGGTGCTTGCAACCTGGACGATGCCCTCAGTGTCCGGGACCTGGGTCCCAGGTGTGAGGTGGCTGTGCACATTGCTGATGTGGCCAGTGTTGTGCCCAGGGATGGGGTGCTGGACGTGGAGGCCCGCAGGCAGGGTGCTGTGTTCTACGCCCCTGACAGGGAGCCAGTGTCCATGCTGCCAGCCAGCCTGTGCCAAGATGTGCTCAGCCTCCTGCCGGGCAAGGACCGCCTGGCCATCTCTCTCTTCCTCACCCTGGACAAGGGCAGCGGCCAGCTCAGAGGCCTGCGCTTTGCACCCACTGTCATCTGCTCTAACCGGCAGCTATCCTATGAAGAGGCCGAGGTGCTGATCAGGGAGCACCAGGGTGCTGGTATGCAGCTGCCGGCTTGCCTGGACTCCATGGAGGCCTGTGTGGTGGCTGCCTGCTATTTCTCCCGGGTGCTGCGCCGGTGTCGCCTGCAAGCCACCTGCCACTATGAGCCCCCTGACGAGGACAGCACCCTAGGCTTCCGTGCAGCCCACATCATGGTGCAAGAGTACATGATTCAGTTCAACAGCCTGGTGGCCAAGTTCTTGGTGGGCAGCAAGCACACACAGGCGCTCACACCCCTGAGATGGCAGCCCAAGCCCCTGATGGCCCAGCTCGAAGCTGTATCCGAGAGGCACAGAGAGCTGGTACCTTTGTCACTGCACCTCCGCCACCACCTGCACAGCCATAGCAGCCCCAAAACACAACTGTACCTCCTGTCCTCCCTCTGGAAGCACGTCCAACTTGCTGCCCACAGCCGGGATTATGGCCAGATGGTAGATCTCATCACCACTGATGACATGCACCCCTCCCTGGCTCCTGCATGCCTGGACCTGCGCAAGGCCCTGGGCCGCTCCTTTTTTGGCCGCTCCAGCCAGAGCGAACAGCAGCTGACTGGCCACTACGCATTGCGGGTGGACTGGTACACATGGGCCACTTCGCCCATCCGCAGGTACCTCGATGTGGTGTTGCAGCGGCTGATCCTGCTGGCGCTGGGCCAAGGAGGTTCCATGTACTCCTCCAGGGACATCGACCGAATCTGCCAGGACTTTGCCCGTCAGCATGCATGTGCCCAGAGCTACCAGCGACGGGCCTGCAGCCTGCACCTGGCCACTCACCTCAAGGCCCAGCCTCAAGAAAAGCTGGGCTTTGTAGTGAATGTGGAGCCCGGCACTCGCTGCTTCAAGCTCCTCTTCCCTGCCAACCGAGAGACCCTGCCCGACCCATGCCCTGTCCACTATCACTCCCTGCAGCTAGCTGAGCACCCTCATGACCTTACAAGCCAGAGGGGCCTAAAACTTGTATGGCGGCGCCGCGTCTACTCTGTGCAGGAGTCCAAGCTGCCCTCTCCACTGCCTGGCACCCTGTTTGACCCACATGTCTGGGCCATCAACACAACCCTGTGGAAGCAGCTGCTGGTCCTGGTGGAAGAGGAGCGCTGGCTGGAGGCAGCCACCCTCATCCAGGAACAAAATGGGAGTGAGTGTCAGAGGCGGCAGCTGGTGCAGGTGCACCGGAGCCACTGCGGCCACTTCCTGGAGGTGATCCGGGAGCTGCGCAGTGGGGATACTCTGCAGGTCCAGTTCTGTGCCAGCATGCAGCGAGGCTTCCTGGTCCCAACCCTGCAGCTGTGGACCGTGGCGCCTGGCCTTAGTCTCTGCCTGGAGCATGTAGAGCACCCAGTCAGATGCTTCTCGTGTCATGCAGAGCAGGCCTCGCGGGACCGGTACTGTGACGTGGAAGAGTACCTGTTCATATGGGGGCCCCTCTGTGCCCAGGAGTCAGTCACCACTGCTGTTGCTGAGAATGACTCCATCGTGCTGCAGCACGTGTGCATTTCCTGGAGTGCAGAGTGGACACAGCAGGGGCAGCTCCAGGGTGCCTTCCACCTGGACCCTGACTTCCTCCAGGAGAACTGCACTGACATCGACTTCAGCTGCTGCTACCTCTGCATCCGGCTTGAGGGGCTTCCAGTGCCACCAGCCAGCCCACCCCCTGGGCCCAGCAGCCTCGGCCCCCTCCTGAGCATCGATCCTGACACGTATGCCTGGGTGGCCCACGGGCTCACAGACAGGCGTGGCCAGGAGGACCAGGCAGACCAGCAGGAGGCCCCCAATGGGGTGCGCTTCTTCATCCACCACATGGCCATGGAGAAAGTTCCAGAAAGTGTGCTGAGGCCCAGCTCCCGGTTCACAGTGGAGGTGCTGCTCAAGCAGCTTCCTGACCTGTGAGTGGCTGGGGAGAGGCCTTGATGGGTGGGTGGGGCAGGCACCCCCTTCCTCGAGACAGTCCCGGTGACTTTCTGGTTCTCCTTCACCCGCAGCCGCAAGGAGGCAGCTGTGCAGAGGCTGAAGGAGGCATCCCCGCTGGTCGTCAGCATTGCCCTCGGCCGGCCCATCCCGCAGCCCCGGGCCCCCTCTCACCAGCAGCCCCACCACGGGGGTAAGTCTGCCCCCACCCCTTCTCCCCGTCAGGCCCTCGCTGTCCTGCGTGGGTGCTCAGGGCACTACCCCATGCCTCCCCAGGGACAGCTAACAGGTTCCTGAAGCAACAGGCCTTTGACATCCGTGGGGGCCACCACAAGCTGAATGCCAGCCAGAACAGGGCCATCAGACAGGCTCTGGAGAAGCCGTTCACAGTCATCCAGGGTCCACCAGGTGGGGGCCACATCCCAGGGAAGGCATGGACACAGGCCCAGCACCCAGGATGCGTGCTGCTCACTCTTTTCTCTGGACACAGGTACAGGGAAGACATTTGTGGGCCTCCACATCATCTTCTGGTTCCACAAGTCAAACCAGGAGCAAGTACCAATCAGAAGCCTCGACACAGAGCAGCCATGGGGGGGCCCGTGCATCTTATACTGTGGCCCCTCCAACAAGTCTGTGGACGTCCTGGCAGGTGTGCTGGGGGCTGTGGTGGGACTTCTGGGGATGCTGGGCACCAGTGGGCAGTTGCTCATGTCTTTACTACCTGCAGGAATGCTCCTGAGTTGGAGGGCAGAACTGAAGCCCCTGCGTGTGTACAGTGAGCAGTGTGAGGCCACCGAGTTCCCAGTGCCGGGTGTGGGCAGCAGGGCCCTGCACAACACCCCCCGGGAGGGGAGGCCAAACCAGACCCTCAGGTGCGGCCCGTCTGCCTGTCTGCTCTTGGGTGGAGTCCAGACATTGGACAGGGGTTCACCGAGACTCTGCCCCCACCCCAGGAGCATCTCCCTGCACCACCGCATCCGACAGGCCCCCAACCCATTTGCGCCAAAGGTCAGAGAGTTTGATGCCCGGGTGAGCAGAGGGGAAGTCTTCTCCAGGGAGGACCTCGCCTCGTAAGTAGCAGGGCTGGGATGAGGAGCTGCCTGCTGGCGCGTCCATGGGGTGACAGCGTGTCCTGTGCAGGTACAGGAGGGTCATGTGGGAGGCGCGGAAGTTTGAGCTGGCTCGGCACTCTGTCATCCTGTGCACCTGCTGCTGTGCAGCCTCCCCCTGCCTCCAAACCCTCAATGTCCGGCAGATCCTCGTGGATGAGGCCGCCATGGCCACCGAGCCCGAGACCCTCATTCCTCTAGTGCACTTTTCAGAGGCCGAGAAGGTGAGGGAAGGTTGAGGGGCCAGTGGCCCAGGTGGGTGTCACGGGCTGTGGCTGGTCCTGGGTGCCGGGTGTGCAGAAGTGGACACTGGGGGCAAGACAGCAGGGAACTAGGGTGCCCCTGTGTCAGAGTGTCGGGGCCATGCCTGCTTGTGCCTCCAGGTGGTTCTCCTGGGGGACCACAAGCAGCTGCGGCCTGTGGTCAAGAATGAGCAGGTGCGAAACCTGGGAATGGAGAAGTCCCTCTTCGAGCGCTATCACAGGGACTCCTACATGCTGGACACCCAGTACCGGATGCATGAGGTCATCTGCACCTTCCCCTCCGTGGAGTTCTATGGCGGGAAGCTGAAGACCTGGCAGCACCTGTGGCGGCCACCTAGCATCCTGGGCCATGCGGACAAGGACAGCTGCCCTGTCATCTTCGGCTATGTGCAGGGCCACGAACAGAGACTGCTGGTGACCACAGAGGAAGGGAATGAGAATTCCAGGGCCAACCTGGTGGAGGTGGCAGAAGTGGTGAGTGTCAGAGGGGTCCAGGAAGGCTTCCTGCAGGAAGAGCAGGAGCAGGAGTTGGGGCTGAGGGAAGAAGTAAGGCTCCTATGTCCTGCTCCCCCTGCCACTTCATTCCCCAGATCCGCATCACCAAGCAGCTGACACTGGACCCGACAGTGGACCCCAAAGACATCGCCATCCTCACACCCTATAATGCACAGGCTGCAGCCATCAACAAGGGCCTTATGCGGGAGGGTGTCAGTGGAGTGACTGTGTCCTCCATCACCAAGAGCCAAGGTGAGGCTGGCTTTGGGGGAGGCTGCAGATGGGGGAGGCTGGGGGTGTGCAACAGACATGCGGGGCAGCCTTGAACGCATCCCCACCCCGCAGGAAGCGAATGGCGCTATGTGCTGGTAAGCACTGTCCGCACATGCCCCAGGAGTGACGTGGACCAGCGGCCGACCAAGAGCTGGCTCAGGAAGTTCCTGGGCTTTGTCGTGGACCCCAACCAAGTGAACGTAGCCATCACCCGGGCCCAGGAGGGGCTCTGCCTGATTGGTGAGGGTTGGGGGCTGGGGGCTGGGTGGGCATGGGTGAGGCAGCTCCCAGGAGGCTCAGGGCAGGGCTGCGAGCTGCTCACTCTCCCGCAGGAGACCATGTCCTGCTGAGCTGCTGCCCTCTCTGGCGCCGTCTCCTGGACTTCTGCAAGGGCCAGCAGAGCTTTGTGCCGGCCAACAAGGTGCGGGTCCGCAGGAGGCCTGCGGTGTCACTGTGAAGAGCCCCTGCAGCCCAGCCCCTGAGGGCCAGAAGCATGGGCCTGCGGCAGGCAGCAGACTGGGATGACAGGAAGCAAGCCCCACGTGATCTTCCTGTTTGTGCCTGAACTTGGGAGGAGGAAGAAAGGGCGGAACCCGGCCTGCTTACTCTGCTTTGCTGCTCTTCACAGGACAGCCCCCAAAACCTGGGCTTCAGGCAGGTCCTCTCCCTGGAGGAAAGGCTCTTCCCCTTCCCTCATTGTTCTCTGTCCCGCTGGGGCAGGAAAGGCAGAGCCATGCCAGATGCCAGCACCAGTATGGCCTGGCCTCCTACTGGGATGAGAAGAGCTGCCTGCCGGATACTCCTGGGTGCCAGCCACAAGGTGCCCCAACCCCACCAGGCTGTGCTTCTGCTCTGAGCCGTGTGTGCCCCTTGCCCAGGGTCTTTGGGACCAACACAGTCATAGGCCACCACAGGGACACAGGACAGGCAAAACTGGGCCTTTAACTGCTACTCCCTATCAACACGATTAGTACTTTCTTCTGAGGTAGTCAGGAACTTAAAAGCAGTTGTCAACTACGAGCGTGGGTCCTTGCCTTAGTGATAATGGAAGTTAAAGCTGAAGCAGGAATTACAGGAAAAGGCTATAATTAGGAGAAAATAAGGAGTGCAGCTCTGATAAAGATCAAGCCAGTCCCTTAGAAAGGAAGGAGCAGGTAGGGAAAGGGCCCCGGAGGAGGGGCAACCTGGTGCAGAGGCCCAGACCGGCCACCCAGGAAGCACCGGCCATCTCTGCAGGACCAGCTGAGGTGGGCTGGGCTCTGACAGGTCCCTGTCTCAATTCTGGCTTCCAGCTCTGCAGGAACCCTCTTGGCTCGAGGGCTGATTCCACCCTGTAAAGTGATTATCTCTGCAGTAGTTTTGGTCATGTGAGGCCCTCCCTATTCAGCCTGGTACCCAGGTCACTCTCGTTCAAGATGATGGCTGGAGATTGCAGTCGTCGCTCCGGGGAAGGGTCTGGAGCTGGACAGCATAAGGCTGGGAATTGGACGTCCTTCTGAATCTTGAGAAGTACTTTAGTTACTCTTGGTGTCTTCTACTTTGAAAGGGGATAAGATAGGCTAAGTAAACTTAAGGCTAATCAACTTCGTAGACTTAAAAAAAAATGGTGGCCAGGCATGGTGGCACACACCTGTAATTCCAGCACTCGGGAGGCTGAGGCAAGAGGATCATTGTGAGTTTGAGCCTGGGCTACATAGTGAGTTCAAGGCCAGCCTGGATTGCATAGCGAGACCCTATCTCAAAACAAAAGCAAAAAATGTACCTATAGCCAATCTTTTGAAGAATACAAAATGGAAGTCAAGCTTTGTTCTACTTTTAGTTAACCTTTTGGGCTTTGTAGGTTCAAATGAAGAGTCATGGTTTTTAGCAAAATACTAATTCATGTCCCTATCTCAGTCATGCTTCGGATGCATAGCCAGGTAAGGGCCCAGTTAGTCTTGTTTCCCTGCTGTGGCCTCTGACTACGTCACAGTGATACAGATGCCCAGGAGACAGCTGAAAGCAGAACACAGCTCGCTCTTCATTTGATCAAACTTTGGGTCCAGCCCCTGCTCAGCTCAGCATGGTCACCGGTAGAGTCCGACCTGAAGTTAGCAAAACCAAGCCCTAGGTTTGTGACTGATCTCACCCCCTTTCAAGTCAGAGGACACCAAGCTAAGAGGTTTGCAGGGATGGTGGGCAGTACCCAGAGGTCACTGCTGCCCTAAGCCTGTGATGACGTGGGTTCCAGCAGAGCCTCACAAGACCAAGGCTGAGCCATGAAGAAACCCCGATCTGGTGGAGACTGGACTGCCCCTCAAGCCAAAAGGACTTCTTTCAGAGCCCTTGCCAAAGCCCTAGCCAGACTCTGCTCACTCCAGTGGATCTAAAGCCTGGCCTCACTGTTTAGGGGGGCCAACCTGTGCCCTTTCTGTCGCTTAAGCTGGAGTCCTTTCCTACTTCCACGTCCTGTCAACTCTGCCTGACACATCTGCTCATGCCTTACACTGATGTGTCTGATTCTTTTTTCATGCTGAGAGTTGATGAACCTATTTTCCTGGGTGATGAGTTGAGGTGCCCATCTCCTCTTTAGGGGACCTCCTCAGACCCCACCAGGTGGGACAACTGGCCTGAACACAGTCTTCCTCTTGCAGCGCTCTGTGCAGCCAGGAGCCTGTCCCCTCCTGAGATGCGGGCTGCCCGAGAGCTGTCCACACCAGGAGGTACCAGGCCTCCCTGTGGCCTCCACAGAGCTCTCTGGCAGGCTTCCTATTCAATGCAAATGTTCTTTACAAATCAAGTTTCTACATTCCAGTTTTTTTATCTCTTCACAAACTCTGTGTCATATGATTGAATAATAGTTTTATTACAAAGACCATACTGAAAGCTTCTTCTGGTGTTTTTGAGGTCTGGTTGGGGCAAAAAGAGCTATGCTTCATCCTTCTTGGGAAGTGGCCATAAGGCCATCAGAGGCTCACAGTGGACAGAATACTGGGCTCAGCGGCATGTGCAGAGGGATGGTAGCACCATTTCATGGCTGAGGGCAATCTGTCCAAGGCCACAGGAATCTGGGAGGGGCGGGTGCGCCACGGACACTCCACAGCTGGAGAGCTGTGTTCAGTGCTGCGGATACAGCCCATGGCACTCAGTCCTAGCTGCAGCAGCTGCGAGGCAAGGATGACACACTGCCTGGTCTGAAACTGCTCCCTGGGATGCCACAGCCCCTCCATGGGGACTTGGGACTCAGGGTTCTTCAGCATCTGTCTTGTCCACGGCCAGGTTTCTTCCCCGCACCAGCTGCACACAGGAAAAGCACAGCAGGGCCCTGTCCCCATGCCAGCGCGGGGGTTGGTCGGGTGGGCGGGAGGTCACAGAGAGACTCTGGAAGGAAAGAGGTGCCCCCAGAGGGAAAGACAGCAGGAGCTGCTGCTCAGAGGCCAGTTCTGGGACGGTCATAGAAGTAAATCTACTTCTATGCCAAGTAGATTTCTATGTCATAGAAGTAAATCTACTTCTATGCCAAGGGAGCGAGTGTCCCTTGGCAAGCCCAGTGGGCGTTACAGGCCCGGGTCAGCGAGGGCTTCCGAGAGAGGGGGGCCTTGAAACTCCAAAGGCTTGTGCGTTGGGAAGCGGAGGCTGAACCGGTGCCAGGCAGCGAGGATGGCTGAGTCGTGAGCAGAGCAGAAACCTGGCTCCTGACGGGGATGAAGCTGTGAAGCCCAATGGGGGGTGAACCTGTGCCCTAGCACCAATGCCTCATCTGGTGAGGGCTCCATGCATGCCCGCCTCTGGGCTGTTGGCTGCCTGGGCTCGGCCAATGGAGGTTCAAGGCCAGGCCAGGGTGAGGGACGGGAAGTGCTGAGACCCCCTAAGCCGCCAGGTCAATGTGCCAGGGTCTGGGGCCATCTGTACACCCCTTAGCCTGCACCCGTCCTACCCTTCTTGTGACACAGGTCATTTCTGTGGAGTATGCTGACCTGCCCAGAACCCCTGGGATGGAACATCCAGACGGGAGTCCCCATGGCCACATGATGCCACATAGCCCTGGACTGTGGCTGGAGAGGTCAGGGAAGGGAGCCCCAACTCAGCCTAAGCCCAGCCTGGAGACCTCCATGCCCAGCCCCTGTCCCTGACCATCCTGCCCCTTCTGGACCTGACGTCTCAGAGGGCTTGCTGTTGGTGACCAGTGTGTGAATGGTGGACGGCGGGGATGGCCATGGGTGTGCGGGGGTCTCTGCCAGCTCTCCCTGGACTCACCCAGGGTATAAGGCGCTGTTCTTCTGGACCTGGATGTGCATCTCCTCCTGGGACATGTCTACTGGCCATGTCAGGGGCAGGTGACCAGGCTGGGGAGCACTGACCACAAGGCTCCCAGCAGCAGTAGGGGTCTGGTTGCTATGGACCCAAGTGTCATGTGGGGTTGGACCACCAGCAGCTGGTGAGGGGGGCCGTGTGGTGAGGTGGCCATCCCACAGTGCTACAGTGCTGGCTGGTGTCTTGGGGAGACTCAGGGCAGGCTCCCTTGCCAGGGCCCATACCCTCCTCTGGCTAGGGGTACTCGTGAGCACCAGCTTTCATGGCATCAGGACTTCAGTTTTGAAAGTCAGATGTCCTCCTTGCCTCGGGCACTCTGATTCCAAGGAAGCTGGGGACCAGCATCAGGGCTGTAAAAGCCCCCAGTCGGGTCGACAGGACCCCAAGTGTCATCCCCTCAGTGAGCCCTAGCCTAGAAGGTGGTAGGAAAGTGGAGCCTGGTTGCAGTGAGGGGGATGGGGGAACTGGTAATGCAAAGTCAGAACCTTGAGCCCCCCCACCCCTTTTTTATCAGCCCCCGCTTCCTGCCTTGGAGTGCAAGGCCCCACAACCCCTCCCAATGGGCAATGTTCTGTGCTTATCTTACAACCACAATTAGCTTCTGTGTCCGTCACACTTCTGACCTCGGGACATAACACCTGCAGCTTCAGCTTTGCTGAGTTCTGCTTTCTGTACCTGGACCAGCCCAACCCAACCCAATTTAAACTATAGTATAAAACCTCCCCTACCCACCACGCTATTTGTTGCCTAGATTTTGGAGTATGCAGCTCCTCTGGGTCACAGCTGGCTAATAAAGGTTGGTTCCCTCCACTTCTGCGGGTGCCTGTCATGTCCCTGTGTCAACAGTAAGGCACTGGGGCAGAGGTGACCAAGTCACGCTGCAGTAGCTCCCAGGGAGGAGGCGCTTCCAGCTGTCCTGGCCTGGGGCTCCTCTGGAAAAGACTGCAAGAGCTTAGGGGGTTCTTGGGTTTATAGGATGCTGGGCTATCAGGAAAACACTCACACATCTGCTGCCACTTTAAACCTTAAGCAGGTTTGTTTAATTCAGTGTATGTATACTCCTCTTTATTAGTGGATAAATATTAGAAAATCATCTCTCAGAAGGTGCAATCAGGGGCGGGCTGGGCTTGCCCAGCCGATTGGGGGTGAGCCCCTCAGGGGGCCCTGGAGTGGTCTGCAGGGTGAGGCTGTCCCGCCAGGGCTCGTACACCAGTGTGTAGCTCTCTGCCCGCTTGACCGTGAACTTGTACGTGCGATTGGGCAGCAGGTTGTGGACTTCGAAGGTGCAGGCTGCGACGGGGATGACACCACACTGCATGCACTCCTGCTGTGTCCGTGGCTCCAGCAGCTTGAAGCGCAGCTCAAACTGCTCCGGTGCTGCCGGCTGCACGGTGACAAACCAGTGCAGGCTGACCCAATCCCAGTGAGCCACTGACTCCTTCCGGTCAAACATGACCGGCATCTTGGTGCTCAGCATGAGCCGGATGTGTGGGATTTTGGTGGGCCCGATGTCGGACACCAGGCGGTGCTTGATATGCAGGCGGCCTGGCACCATCATGGCCAGGAAGTTGTCCATGATGGCCGACAGATCTGCCAGGCGCTGCTCCACGAGCCCCCAGCCAGCCAGGAAAGGCCGCGGGTCCGGTGACTCAAGCAGGGAGTCCAGCTCTAGGCGGCCGCGGTCCAGCTGCTCCAGCAGGTCCCCGAGCAGCAGGAGCTGGATCTTGGTCTGTGCCGTGCCCACCTTCTTCATGCGCTGGAACTTCCAGGGGTCAATGAGCTGAAGCATGGTGTTGGGCAGCACCAGTGAGTTCTGGTCGCCCAGGGCCAGGTGCTTGGGGAGGATCTCGATGTAGTAGGAGCACTTCTTAAGCAGCTGCATGCGGGCGTGGTGGCGCTTGAGCAGGTGGGGACTCAGGTCGGAGGTCAGGAACTCCCTCAGGGTGTTGCGGCGCTCCATGTAGGTCTTCCAAGCCTCTGGTTCCAGCAGCTGCTGATCCTCCACCTCCTCTACCTCCTCTGTGTCCAGGAAGGACTGTGGACCATCCAGCTTCATCTTGTCCAGGCCCAGGCCTGCCACCCGTAAGGTCATTCTCTAGGAGCTGGCAGGGAGGGCTGCGCATGAGCTGCATTGTCAGGCTGGCTCTGCCACCCTCCCAGGCTCTGCCCCACACTGGCCTTCTGCCCTCCTTGACACACCCCTCTAGAAGGGCTGAGGGAGGACAGACGGTCAGCTGTGTATCGGGACAAAGTGGACGCTGGGGCCAGTTGTCCTGTGCAGTGACAAGACAGAGCAGGCTCAGGCGGCTCTGCAGGCAAAGCCGTCCAGACAGAAATCCAGCCATAGGCCAGCGGTGGGCCTGGCACAGGCC